AATGCGAGTTTACACACATGTAGCCTATAGCCATAAGTGTTTGATTTCCATCTGATATACCTGTTTATAGCTGACAGAGTTAAATTTTTAATTGACAAGCATCAACTGTAAAAAATATTTAATTTGTAATTAACATATGTCAATTTCAAATTCAGAGTTGACACATCACTCAATAGTTGTCAAAGTTTAGTTTTAAAAACAATTGAAAAATCTCCCACTAGTAACTGATTTCCAATTTACAGTTGACAAACTTTAGAAACTACCATACAAAAAGTGTTCATAGTGATGAAAATAAATCACATAAACAATCACATAAATTTATAAACCTTTTATTCTGTGATTAAAACCATGCTGCTATGCTTTTCTTGCAATTAGTATTAACAAGTGACTTAGGCTAATAGCCATCTTGGCTCCAATACATCCTTTAATGCATGGAAAAATCCTAGCTTGATTAATATTCTTTATAGTATCAAACTTTAAGGTGTGTTAACTCACTATTAAATATCAACAAATTGTTTACTTTAAAGGAACTGTATTTACAAATTTGTATTTGTAGGAAAAAACATTATTTATTTTTCAATTTCTCTAAGTAATACATAATGGCTACCATTTTCTGCTTTAACTTTTAGTATATTTGGAGAATGTACTACAAAAGTCAGTAGTAATTGCATTAAAAACTCCATAAATACATTTTTTTAGGAAGATTACATCACAAGAACCATAAGTATTTGTGTTCATATATTTAGAAATAGGAAGATGTTATATACCAATGTAAAAAAACAACAACAAAAACTTAACGTATCCCTCAAGTCCTTTATTTCAAACTATTGCTATAGTAATCACTTTAATAGTTTTTAGGAATAAAATGAATAATTTTAAAACAATTTCAAAAATTATGTTCTTAAAGAAACATGCATATCACCATATTTTGTAAAAGAGTTGGTGAAAAATGAAAAGTACTGTTTTTGTAATGATTTGAATTAATATTCCCAATAGTATTTAAATTTCTTTTCTTAAAATATACATTTTCTGTTAATTTGATCATCTATCAAAGCATTTGGTTATACTTGTGA